ATAAGCAAGCCTAGGATGAAGGTGGGGTGTGATGGCCAAAGGCTCTCTAAGGATCAAGTTAGTGAATTATTTTAGACTCAAGCAGTGGGCAAGAGAATTCAAGTATAAATATTGCGCTAATAGAGATGAATCTTAGATGTGTGTATTTATACCGTTGGGAGAGGGACCTTTTTAGGATATAATATTTGTTCTAAGCCGGGAGAATCCTAGAGGATATGTAAAAGTAGATATTGCACCCTTTTACGAGTTGTGATTACTTGCGGCGCACGCCTATTCCTAGATTGTAGGAACTCCAACACTTATAATTAAGGATCTGATTATGTCCATATCCATATCAGATCTCGTGTCTTGCGAAACAAGCATGGTTATCCAATGGAGTCGCTTGAACTTCGCCTGTTGCCCGAAACTAGGTGATGGTGGCATCGCTATTCTGTTTGATACAGCTTCGTTAGGAGTTGGTGAGTTCATGACTGCATTTATAAGGTAATGGTGTGAATAATTAGACCGCTAACAAATAAAAAATCTAAACACTAATTTAAACCTCACAAGTATACGACTCAAATAAGATAGTATAATGACAAGTAAGGGTCGATCCCATAGAGACGAGATTAATTTAAGCAAAAATAATAACTATCAACTCAAAAGTACAACAAATGACTGCTTTTGTTTTATTTTCGTAATATGACTCAATTAAACACTAAAGCATTAAACTAAAAATCACAATTTTGTTGATTGATAAGCAAACAAGAAAACCGATGAAACAAGATAGTAAATGAAAGAAATAAAACATGACAATGAATGAATGATTGTAATGAATTAGGATTGTAATCTATGGATGGTGAGCCTAAGGTTTCGGAATCCACACTCCATCATACGTTTTTCAAATCAATGCTCCGTTAATACAATTCCAAATTTAATTCTTGAAGTTTACCTACAATTCCAACTCAATTTGCAATTGTTGCCCTTAAATATGATTTCTCCCAATGGTCATGGTAAGAGTCAAGTATTTTTGTATGCAACTAGCCTATGGTCAAGGTCTAATTTAACATCCAACAATCCGTTAAGCTCTTTGGAAACGATAAACATACACACCATACAAGTCTAGGTCTAGCTCATATGCATATGCAATCTCTAAATCGTTGTGCTTATATCTAAGGCAAGATGATCACTCAACACAAATAAACACAATTATATCTAGGGAGTTTTAATGAAAAGGGTTTGGGACAATTTTTTCTTAACCAAAAACCATACACAACTTTTATTTAATGAAAAGGGTTTGAGATTTAATAAAAAGGACAAAAGTAACATACAAAAGGCCTAAAAAAAAAGTCCCACGGGCTGAAGCATAGCCCAACATGCAACATCAAATCTTTCTTCTAACTTTGCCCCTAACAGAAATTAACCAAAATCTATTAACACAACTTTATATTATTTACAAAATTGCCATCGAACCTAAAAAGTCAAATAAAACCAAACTAATTTAATTTTCAATTTTCAATTTGTGACGGCTTTCTCTTTAAGTGTCGATCGTCGTCGCTCGACTTATACTCCATGGAAGCAGCACTGATCAGTCTCTCTGCTTTCAGTTCCATTGCTGCAGCCTTGGTTGTCAAGGACGACTTGTACTCGTTGTAGAACCCATTCGCCAAAGACGATGACGACTCCTTGTGATAGTGATGCGTCGACAATTATCCCCACCGCCGAAGTAGCAATGGCAGCAGAAGTAGTGGAGGAAGAAGAAGGCCTTCCACTTCTTGCTCACCTCTTTCTCAGGAAAGCTTATGCGAGAGAACGTGCTTGCTTTGTGCTTCCACTCCGCCGTTGCTTTTTGCCATAGCAGCTGATACTATAGTTGATTATATATATGCAAAAACAAGGCATTAGATTGTATTGCGTTTCACTTTGCGAACAATCATATATAGCTACAGCTTCCACAGGTTAAACTGATCTTTTAAGAATTTAAATTAGTTCAAAATTGGGACTATACTAAAACAATTTACGACATGAGCATCTCAAATATCTCATAGGGTTAAAAGAGAAGCATAAATGATCAGAACTAAGGATTAGACACAAAGGAGGGGCAATAACTTTCCTTTCTTTTTGCGAACCCCATGCTAATTATATATACACAAAAATGACAGTAGGTTGTATTGCAATCATGTCCGATATATGTACAACTCTAAATTTTTTTTATCAAATCTTTTCTCAAGCTGTGATCGTACGATGGATTCTTCATCCCAATTATGTAGTGGAAACCCTTCTAGTAATTAAAAAAGTTTGCAGCTTTGTAGCAAGGGTTGGGTTTGATTCGCGTATCTCATGAAGAGAAAGTAGAAAAGAAGGAACGGATGGGTATCACATGAAGAACATCATGGACATGGGCATCACCACCATCATCACCATCATGAAGGTGGTTGTTGCTCATGCCATGGGATGCATCGAAACTGGAAAATGCACTATTTCTAAAACTGAAAAAAAAAAATGGACCAAGAAAGAGACACTATTTACGAAACTCGACCAAAAAAGAGACACTATTTATGAAAACTGGATAAAGAATGAGACATTATTTATGAAACTGGACCAAGAATGAGACATTATTTATGAAACTACACTGACTATTACACCCTATTTATGAAATAGGACCAAGAACTAGACACTATTTATGAAACATGACCAAGAACTATGCACTGTATATGAAAGTGGACCAAGAACTAAACACTATTTATGAAACTGGACCAAGAATGAGACACTATTTATGAAACTGTATTAACTATTATACACTATTTATGAAAGTAAATGAAGATCTAGGCACTATTTATGAATCTAGACCAATAAATAGTATAGTATTGTTCAGTTTCATAAATAGTATAGTACCATTCAGTTTTATAAATAGTATATTACCATTCAATTTCATAAACAATGCAGTGTGGTTAAGTTTCATAAACAGTATAGTACTGTTCAGTTTCATAAACAGTTAAATATAATAAAAAATTTAATTTAGTGAAATGGCTTAAACTTTAGTGAAATGGCTTTATTTAATAAACAGTATAGTACTGTTCAATGTCATAAGTAGTTTCATAAACAGTATGGTACTGTTCAGTTTCATAAACAATATGGTACTATTCAGTTTCATAAACAATATAGTACCATCTAATAACTTTATTTAATAAAATGGCTTAAACTTTAGTGAAATGACTTAAATTTTAATTAATAAGACAAAAGTTAAATATAATAAAAAAATAAAATAAGTCAGATACCAGTTCATCTAACATTGATTAAGCCAACTGATCAATTTGGTGAAATACAACCCCATTTTTTCAAGTCGTAGCTGAATTCATAATCCATAAGTCAGATACTAGTTCATCTAACATTGATTAAGCCAACTGATCAATTTGGTGAAATACAACCCCATTTTTTCAAGTCTTAGCTGAATTCAGAATCCATAAGTCAGATACCAGTTCATCTAACATTAAGCCACAAACTTTCAACTTGAATTTGAAATCTAGTTACGAGATTTCTCTCCGACGTCGTAAATTTTACTTATACATTTTTACCTTTTAACCAACTGAGTTACAAGTCTTTATTATTTTAGTCATACTTAAAAGGACAAATTTAGTAAAATTCGAGATATATGTATACTAATAGGATGTCTATATGCTTATGTTGTCAAATGGTCAAACGGTACCATTATTGATCGTATATTTTTTTTATCAGAGTATGTCATTATAATCCTCCGTAAAATAATAAGACACTATTTATGAAATTGGACCCATAATTAGACAATATTTATGAAATCAAATCAAGAATGAGACACAATTTCTAAAACTAAACCAATAGGTGGAAACTATTTAGGAAACTAGACCAAGAAAGAAACATTATTTATGAAACTAGACCAAGAAAAAGACATTGTTTATGAAACTGCATTAATTGCTATACACTGTTTATGAAACTGGACAAAAAATTGAGCACTATTTATGAAACTGGACCAAGGACAAGACCATTATTTATGAAAGTGGACCAATAACTAGGCACTATTTATGAAACTGAATCAAGAACTAGGCCACTATTTATGGAAGTGGAACAAGATCTAGGCACTATTTATGAAACTGAACCAATAAGGAGATACTATTTATGAAACTAGACCAATAAGTAGACATTATTTATGAAACCCAATCAAGAATAAGACACTATTTCTAAAACTAAACCAATAGGTTGAAACTATTTGTGAAACTAGACAAAAAAAGAAACACTATTTATGAAATTGAACCAAGAACTAAGCATTATTTATGAAACTGAACCAAGAACTAGCCATTATTTATGAAATTTGACCAATAAGTAAATACTATTTATGAAACTGGATCAATAAGTAGACACTATTTGTGAAACCAAACAAAAAATTAGGCAATACTTCTAAAACTGAACACGGGTACTAAACTATAATCTGAAAACAAATTACTTTTTTCTTGTTTCTTAAGTGTATCTATCAACCCCAAAAGAAGACTATGCCATGCCCCACAATTCCCTCATTTTGTGCTTTCAATACTATCAATATCAATATCATTCTTCATACTTACAAATTAGAAAACTATGAAGATACGTTCTCTTAGTCCATCCTCATTTATGAGGCCTTGTACTAGTAAGCAACTCATGCTTATCAGAACTTTGCCTTTCTCCTTTCACAAAGTTTGCAGATGATAAATATGGAATCTTTAATATCAAATACTTTACCATTTTTCCATGGAAGGAATAGTACTAATTGCACATGTAACAAAGCAAATACATGTATTTGAAGGCCTTACCCTTCAGAAACCACTAGAATATGCCTTCACTGCTCTCAATTCTCAAACTAGATCAATCCACTTGAATATACCATTTTTCCATGACAGTTATGCAGTAGTTATAAAACCAATCCACTGAGATCAAGGGATTTCTCCAACTTCCAATAAGAAACAATTTTTCAAAAGCCACAATGGTTAACAAACCATGGTCCTGGATATATATTTGAGACCATAATTCCTTATCATCCAAATTAGTTGAAAAGTACAACATGCATATTCATTGTCATAAACATTCAGACTATTGTAATCAACATTCATACCAATTCATCTGGGATTTGATAGTCCAACGACAAATTACACCAATCCGGGCCGATACAAACCTTGTATAATCTATTAAATTAGAGGCCAATATCAGTGAGCCATAAGTGGTTATCCAACATTTTGTCCTTTCAAACAATAGAAAGCTAATGTAGATTTTCAAATACCCATCATGCACTATAGATTCTGTATATATGTTATATGCATCTGTTAAGAAAGATGCGTCGCTACGGTCACATACATCTCAAGAAGCCATAATCACGAGGCACCGTTTCAGAAATAGGTCTCTCTGAAGAGAAAATTTCTTGTTCCGAAGCTGTTCCTAATTTGTTGTGCACAGCCGTTTCTCGTTCCGAAACTGTTCTTGACATGTTGTGCACAGTCATTTCTCGTTCCGAAGCTATTCCTGATATGTCAAATTGTCAATTAGATATCCTACGATTTCAAATTTTCATATCATCCCTTAACATAGAAGCACACATTATTACAACCATTGATACTTTTATATGCAATGAAAGATGCATACATCTCCAATTATAGACATCTGCGCATGCACACATTGCTCTCGTAAAACCCAGCAACAAAAATTTTAATTTGAAAAATTAAATTTAAAAAAAATAAAGATTAAACCCATAAACAAAAATTAAACAACAATTGCAAACTAATTGCTCTCATAATTTCTCTCAAAAGTTATCCAGCCATGTTCTGAATTGGAATATTGTATATTGCCCATTGCAGGCACGTAATCAACAACAAAATTTGAACATAATTAAAATTCAAAATATTTTAGACGAAATTTTGAAATTGATAAAATTGGAAGAGCGATCAGAGATGATTAAGGGTCGTCGTTCACGATTAAATCAGAAACACATAGCAAGAAATTCCTCATCATATCACACATGAAACCCTACAACAACAACAACAACAACAAAGCCTTTTCCCACTAAGCGGGGTCGGCTATATGAATCCTAGAACGCCATTGCGCTCGGTTTTGTGTCATGTCCTCCGTTAGATCCAAGTACTCTAAGTCTTTTCTTAGGGTCTCTTCCAAAGTTTTCCTAGGTCTTCCTCTACCCCTTCGGCCCTAAACTACATCTTCGAACCGGAGCGTCAGTAGGCCTTCTTTGCACATGTCCAAACCACTGTAACCGATTTTCTCTCCTCTTTCCTTCAATTTCGGCTACTCCTACTTTACCTCGGATATCCTCATTCCTAATCTTATCCTTTCTCGTGTGCCCACACATCCAACGAAGCATCCTCATCTCCACTACACCTACGTGTTGATGCTTCACTGCCCAACATTCTATACCATATAGCATTGCCGGCCTTATTGCCGTCTTATAAAATTTTCCCTTGAGCTTCAGTGGCCTACGACGGTCACACAACACGCCGGATGCACTCTTCCACTTCATCCATCCAGCTTGTATTCTATGGGTGAGATCTCCATCAAATTCTCCGTTCTTTTGCAAGATAGATCCTAGGTAGCGAAAACAGTCGCTCTTTGGTATTTCCTGATCTTCGATCCTCACCCCTAACTCATTTTGGCCTCCGTTTGTACTGAACTTGCACTCCATATATTCTGTCTTTGGTCGGCTTAGGCAAGGACCTTTAGATTCCAACACTTCTCTCCAAAGGTTAAGCTTCGCGTTTACCCCTTCCTGCGTTTCATCTATCAACACTATATCGTTTGCGAAAAGCATACACCAAAGAATATGATCTTAAATATTAAGTTTGTGATCTTCGCTGGATTGCTCCGGTCATTAGTGTGGATAAGTATGTAAATGGATAGAGACAGGAAGCAAACACAAGATGTACGTGGTTCACCCAGATTGGCTACGTCCACGGAGTAAAAGAGTTCTCATTAATTGTGAAGGGTTTACACAGTATATAGGTTCAAGCTCTCCTTTAGTAAGTACAAGTGAATGATTTAGTACAAATGACATTAGGAAATATTGTGGAAGAATGATCTCGTAATCACGAAACTTTTAAGTACCGAAGTGTGGTATCGTCTTCACTTGCCTTATCTGTCTCATAGGTAGATGTGGCATCTTCTTTGGAAGTACTCTTCCTCCCTCCAGGGGTGGTATCTTTAACTGGTGGAGATGCACAAGGTAATGTATCAATTTTCACTTGACGCTTACTTGTAGTTTCAAGCTTGGTCAAGCGCGATACAAACCATGTAGTAGGAGTCCCCCAAGTCGCCGAGCTAGGGATCTGCTGAAAGAGGTGACAGACAAGGTAAGCAATCAGAGCTCCAAGCAATCATTCCCATATCAGAAGTTTGATTTCGAGTTCCGGCTAATTGTTATCCTTCTCCTTATCTTGCAGGTAGCATGAAGGATAAAGAGAAGAAAAGGAGAAAAGGTGATATGAGATACTTTTGCTTTTGAAGAAGTAACTTTTCACAGGCTTATTCTTGAACTGGGCTGGAGGGTTTTCTTGTTTCCGCCAGAGTATAAGGCCGACTGAAGAATTTGAGGGTCAAAACAAGTCCATCAAATATAGAGTACGTTCGACCCTGCTGATATGGGATACTTTTGCTGTTGACAAAGTAGTGGATGTATCGGCACGTGTTCTGTTGCGCTTGTCTCCACATGCTTCCTTGTATCCTTCTCACTTGCCCTATTTGTTCCTCAGGCAGATGTGGTATCTTCTCGGGAAGCATAAGATGTTGAAGATGAGTACTCGAGAGCAATGGGGTTCCAGGCAGTCAGTTCCGGACTAGAAGCTTGATTCCAAGTGCTGACTGATTGCTCTCTTTCTCTTTGTCTTGCAGGTAAGAACAAGGCCAAAGGAAAAGACAAGAAAAAGCCTGATATGGGATACTCTTGCTTTTAACCCTGATGATATGAGATATTCTTGCTCTAGTGTAGCTTGTTTGCAGAGGTATTCTCGGGAGGAAAGAAAGCTGAGTATTTCGAGAGGCTTCGTTGGGAGTGCCCTCTCAGATATGAGGAAGGGTTGAACATTTTTGCAAGTCTGCCTGTCCGTTGAGGATGGAGGTCGACATATATAGGAGTCTCCTTAACAAGGAGTAATACTATTCTTTTACCCTGCTTGGTCATAGCACGGTAGTGGGAGCTGCCAGCTTCAAGTGTTTTAACTCTGTCAGAGCACTTTGAAAAAGTGGTCTGTGGTATCTGGAAAGCTGATGTTACATGTGAAGATTACAGACAAGCTTTATCCAAGGAGATCTGGCTCTCGAAGTTGAGAAAGCGGTGTGAGGATTACAGACAAGCTTTATCTAAGGGGCTCTCGAAGTTGAGAAAGCGGTGCCTCTTCGGTTTTCGAACAAGCAATCTTGTCGTGGATCTGTCTCTAGAAATTCGGAGAACGGTGCCTCTTCGATTTTTGAGAAAGCAATCCTGCTAGGAGTCTGGCTCTCGAGATTCGGAGAGCGGTGTCTCGTCGCTTTTTGAGAAAGTAATCATGTTGGGAGTCTGGCTCTCGAGATTCGGAGGACGGTGCCTCTTCGATCTTGAAGCAAGCAATCTTGTTGGGAGTGTTTTCTCGAATGTGAGTAAAGGTTAGCCTGTTTGCTAGTCTACCTTGCCACGGAGCACAAAGATTGACCCACAGGGACTTTCTAATTATCCAGCAATGGTCTTGTTCCTTTACCCTTGTGGGTAATAATATGGTAGCTAGACCTTCAAAATTTATGTGTCTAAACTTTGTTAGTGCTGTTTCTTTGCTATTCTTTTACCCTTCTTGGTCATAGCGATGTAATGGGAGCTGCAAGCTTCACGTGTCTAAACTTTGTCAAAGATTTTTGGCAAAGTTATCTGTGGTACCCGTGAGCTGATGTTGCGTGTGGAAAGTGAATGATTGAACAGTAACATTCACGTGCTTTCTACTTCACTAGAAATCTTCGACAGAATGCCCGTAATTTCCGCAAAGTTGAGTGTGCATGTGACAGGTGCTGACAAGGCTGAAAAAGCAGGTGCCTCTTCGATTTCTGAGATCGGCCCTCGTGGTTTCTGAGCAGCCCAGCTTTTGAGAAAGCAAGCGCCTCTTCGATTTCTGCGATCGACCTTCGTGGTCTTTGAGCAGCCCAGCTTTTGAGAAAGAAAACGCCTCTTCGATTCCTGAGATCGACCCTCGTGGTCTCTGAGCAGCCCAGCTTTTGAGAAAGCAAACGCCTTTTTGATTTCTGAGCAGACGCCTCTTCGATTTCTGAAGCTCCATCGAGTGTGGATTTTTATAGAGGCTGGTATTAAGTTCCAAAGCACACTTGAATCTCCACCAGTAGAAGCTCCCTTCTTGCATTTCTAAGATCTTGATTTGTCCGACCTCTTTTCTCTTCAACACCTTTGAAAATGTCTGGCCCCTCCGACCGTCGTTTTGACTTGAACCTTGTTGAAGAGGCAGCCACGCCTTCTCCAGACAACATATGGCGCCCATCCTTCTTATCCCCTACTGGTCCTCTTACCGTTGGGGATTCCGTGATGAAGAATGATATGACGGCTGCGGTGGTGGCCAGAAACCTTCTCACTCCCAAAGATAACAGACTACTTTCCAAACGGTCAAATGAGTTGGCTGTTAAGGATTCTCTGGCTCTTAGTGTTCAGTGTGCAGGTTCTGTGTCTAATATGGCCCAACGCCTATTTGCTCGAACCCACCAAGTTGAATCATTGGCGGCTGAAGTGATGAGTCTTAAACAGGAGATTAGAGGGCTCAAGCATGAGAATAAACAGTTGCACCGGCTCGCTCATGACTATGCTACAAACATGAAGAGGAAGCTTGACCAGATGAAGGAATCTGATGGTCAGATTTTACATGATCATCAGAGGTTTGTGGGTTTGTTCTAAAGGCATTTATTGCCTTCGTCTTCTGGGGCTGTACCGCGTAATGAAGCTCCAAATGATCAACCTCCGATGCCTCCTCCTTCTAGGGTGATGTCCAGTACTGAGGCTCCGAATGATCCCCCTCTGGTGCCTTCTCTTTCTGGGGCTCTGCCGACTGCTGAGAAGTCTCTGCCGACTGCTGAGACTTCTCCTAAGCAACCTTTGTGAAGGCTCCCTCATGTTTGTTTATTTTGACTCGTGTATATGTACATATTTGTAACTTCTTAGAGATATCAATAAATAAGCTTTGTTTCATTTCAACATATTGTGTTAAATACACCAAAGCCTTCTTCACTAAGTTCTTTGAATTTTTCTTTTGTTGAAGCTTGTATGTTGAAGCTTTGTCAGTGGAGCATGTAGGTTGAGGTAGTGTTCCCTTAACTTCCCGAGTGGGGAAAACTTCTCGATTGGAGACTTGAAAAATCCAAGTCACTGAGTCGGGTCGGCTATATGAATCTTAGAACACCATTGTGCTCGATCCTGTGTCATGTCCTTCGTTAGATCCAAGTACTCTAAGTCTTTTCTTAGAGTCTCTTCCAAAGTTTTCCTAGCTATTCCTCTACCCCTTCGGCCCTGAACCTCTGTCCCGTAGTCGCATCTTCTAACCGGAGCGTCAGTAGGCCTTCTTTGCACATGTCCAAACCACTGTAACCGATTTTCTCTCAGTTTTCTTTCAATTTCGGCTACTCCTACTTTACCTCGGATATCCTCATTCCTAATCTTATCCTTTCTCGTGTGTCCACACATCCAACAAAGCCCTAATTTTGTAAATTAATTTAAAAACCAAAAACTTCAGAAACAAAAATTTTCACAACCAGAAAATTAGGAGAAAAAAAAATCAATATTTCCAAATCAAAATTTGATAGCGCAAACCTTCTCCAACACTAATGTCCTCTCAGAATCGACTTCCGTCGGGCCGACAGTTGATATTGGCTCTGTCACGGTGCTATATAAATGATATTCAAACGGCATGGGACCGTGAAGTACACCGGCGATGATCCAAGGGGACGGACAAAAACAGATGATGAAGGATGTACTTTGTGATGCTTGCACTACTTGCACCTCAGGTATGACAGCGATGATCCAACTCGCTAGATTTCTTTGACGGAAGGTAGATTCGGCAAGCATGTCGTCTGGGCCGTATGACATCGTCGCTTCTTTCGGAACCGAGATCTGCACCTGTTTATCACATCCATCAAGATTTTCATTGCCAATTTCAGAGTTTGACGGAGAAGAAGATCGGATGATGGCTGATGAAATGAGAAAATTACATAAATTAATCTGAGGTTATAGACCTTTTTGTTGAGAGTTGTCCCACATCGGTGAGGGACAAGGTTTGCTATGTGCTTATATGGTCTTGGGCTACTCCCCATATTGCTAATTGGTTTTATGGTGGAACCTCAATTTCATCATGGTATCATAACGGGTTGTCCTCATGTGATGCCAAACGGCCACACGCGCTCCACGTCACCCAATTGTTGTCCACGTGTAGGTTTGAAAATCCGCCACACTTGCGGGGGCGTGTTGAGAGTAGTCGCACATCGGTGAGGGACAAGGTTTGCTATGTGCTTATATGGTCTTGGGCTACTCTCCATATTATCAATTGGTTTTATGGTGGAACCTTCAATTTCATCACTTTTTACTCTCTCCATGTGAATTAAACGAACCAAATAAACAACCACAACATGACGCTAGGGGTAAAATTGGAAGCTTGATAAAAAAAAAAAATTGGACCAATTTTATTGGGCTGATTTGATTCTATGTTTTGTCATAATCATTAAATAAAAGTTAATAGATTGTTTTTTATTAAAATATAAAAAATTAAAGTTCTTTTTATTAATTTTCCTTATATTTATACTTTATCTCATGAATTAGAGATCATCTAAAGAAATAAAACAAAAAGCCAAACAACCGAGGTCCACCATGCCTCCCGACTCACACAACCCCAGTGAACCACTGCAACTCGCCCGCGGCAACGCCTCTTGTAATCGCCGCCAAAACCGCCTCTTTCCCAGGCGTTGTCTCTCACCTGCACCCCCTATAGGCCCAAACCCACTCCCACTCATCAAACAAAGAAATCAATTCCTCTCAACACAGACTCCTCCAAGCAGTTTGTTTTATTTAACATAGACAAATAAGACAGCAAAACATAGTACAAAGCGTAAATAGATGAATAAAAGAAGGTGAAATAGCAACACTACAACAAAACTGGTCATCCACGACAGTCAAATAAACACATCGATGACGCTTTTCCTTAAACACATCATTTTGATGGCTTAATGACGCTTATTAGAAAGGCAGGACAATGTTTCCCAAATAAAACCTAAACCTGATTAATTAATGAAAGAAACAATTTTTTTGAACATTGCCACAGCATTGTCACAAGTGGGATTGAACAAATGGAACACATGGTTCTCCCCCTTTGCTTCGATGACCTCCACAGCCCCTTTCCATCCACTCTTTTTTAGTACCTCACTATAATTGCATCCCCTTTCTTTCAAGACATCTTTCTCTCCAACACAAACCAGCACTTTCTCACAGCCTAATTCCCCCAATTTTGGATCCTTACCAGGATTCAAAAACGGGTCATCGGATCCACTTGTCAAGGGGTACGCCACACGCCACAAACCAGCCATATACTCTCTTGCAATAGGGGGCAGAGCCGATTCTGCCCCAATCGGCTCTGTTCCCCAAAAATATGGATGCACCAACACAATGCCATTCAGCTTAACACCACTCAACCCCTCGGACCCTACTCTCAATCCCATGTGGTGAGCTATGTTAGCTCCAGCGCTGTCACCTGCAAAAAACACGCGCTGAAAATCTGCGTGGCGATTTAGCCACTCTTCGGAGCCCTTCCCCTCAGAATGGGAAGCAACCCATTTGATAGCAGCCCATGCATCATTGTAAGCAGCTGGCAGAGAGTGCTCTGGGGCTAGCCTGTAGTCAACCGAGACAGCGACAACATTGGCCTGAGCAACTAGTACGTTAAGGTGGGTGTGATAAATTGGAGAAAATGCAGTTTCAACCACGAAACCGCCTCCGTGGATGTAAACAAGAAGAGGGAGTTTTTTATCGGGTGAGTTGGTGGTGGATTTGGTGGGGAGGTAAAGCCTTACGGACAATGCTGGTTCTTGTGAGATCACAGCGTCTTTGGATTCGACTCCAGTTTTGTGATCAAGGGATGGAGGAAGCTTGGTTGTGCCGGTGAGCCGCTCAATTCGACCATCTTTGTAGATTTTGATGAGAGGAGAGAAATCATAGGCTATATCGTTACGCATGCTTGGATTCAATGAAGAGAAGTCCATTTACTTGCCTATTTTTAAGAGAACGCTAAACACAATTATGCAGAGTTAAACATGCATGTTTGAGTGGAGAAATCAATTAGTTAGGTTATTCATCACCTATGGTGTGGCATTACCATCGCACTCAATCTGCTACGTGTTATATTGTACTTAATCACAATTAAATGTGTGGTTATGCAGAGCGTTTAAAGTAAAGGTGTGTACTGCTTCAGTTCGGTCTGCGTTGGAATGAGTCATATATATATAGGATGACACTTCTTTTGGCTCGAAATGGTAAATATGGGTTAATACCTTTGAGGATGCTTTACGCTTGTTGTTACAAGCCGTCCATGCTATAAAACTCCTTGGATCCTCCATGGACGAGTTCTAGCCTCCATACGGGTACTTCTTGGTCTCCAAGATTAGAAGGGTTGACTATGGTATATCGATTTTCTCCTATGATATTCGTCTTCTAATAGTAACATTAACCCACTTCTTACAAAAATTGTCATAAAAGTCGCATATGTACAGTGAGGCGCAACATAAAACTAAAGGGAAATGGTTTTTACACCCTTTTTTTTCATGTGAATACTCTCTTTATTTTGTCCATTGATTTTTTATGTATTTGACTTAACAGTCAGACATAAGAACAAGAAAAATAGTGTGTTGAAATTAGTTCCAAAACTAAAATTTTGGTCCATATATACCTGGAGCGGAATCAGTATGCACTTACAAAATTGTTTTAGTAGAAGCTTATAACATATATATGTTGGAATTTAGTTTATTATTATTATAATTAGTTGTCTTGCGGGCCAAGGGTTAACCTCTTGTCCATAAAGTTTTGAATTACTTGCTCGTTTAATCTAGGGTTTGTTTAGTTGTTTCATTTAAAGGACTCTTGTATTTGTTTTTTATTATCAATCAATAAACAATGCTTTACCCGGATACTATTCAATTTTATAGTTGTCAAGGAATGTTTCTGTTGTCGAATTTTTCTTTTTCGTTTTTCATATAAACATAGCAAACTAAGTAATGTATCTACTCAAAAGCAGTTGATCAATCAGACTCATCATTGCAGAAAAATATGAAAACAACACAAATTATGTTGCATGCTTATTTCCTTACACAAAGTTAAAACTCTGTATTTACATATATACGAAGTGACGCTTGGGACCCCCTAACTAACTTACAGAATGTTAGACGCTCTGTAGTACACCACTATTTACATAGTAAGGGTACTTGCACAAAACCAAGAGAAAGACAACGAAAGTTTTTCCCTACCTTATCAGCACACATGATCGTATATACCGTAGCAGCTAAAGTTTTTTTTTTTTTTTTTTTTTCACTTTAGAGGCCATGGCAAGAAATCCTAATTGAAGAACAAAACGATCCTTTTCATCATGGCCACAGCTTTTTCATTAGCGGGTTGGAACAAATGGAATACATGGTTCTCCTCCTTTGTTTTCCATACCTTTTGTAGAATTTTTCATGTCAACGGGCCGAGGGCTCACTCCAACAACATCGATATTGTCCTCACTTTACCACCTGCCCAATCCGTTAGGTGTGGGGTTTTATCACAAAAAGCCTCGGTGTTAGTTAGAGTGGGGTAATTCTATTTAAAGTGCTTCTCTCCTTTCCCTCTGGCTGATGTGGGATTCCAATACGCCCCCACATGTGAGACCCTTTTTATGGGTCATACGTGGAGATCCACACATCGGCAACCACGTGGAGCCAAGTCGGGGCGAACCCTACACGTGGGACCACCCACCCAATCATGTGGCCAGTTTGGCCTACATGGAGCCATGACGGGACTCACCCATCATGCTGGGCCAAAGGGGACCCACCCAATCATGTGGCAGGATAGGGGTAATTCTATTTAAAGTGCTTCTCTCATTTCCCTCTGGCCGATGTGGGATTCCAACATGCCCCCGCATGTGAGACCCCATTTTGTGGGTTACACGTGGATATCCACACATCGGCAACCACGTGAAGCCAAGTGCCAAGTCGGGGCTTACCCAACACGCGGGGCCAAACGAGGACCCATCCAATCATGTGGCAACTTTGGCCTACATGGAGCCATGATGGGACTCACCCATCGCGCGGGGCCAAAGGGGCTAAAGGGGACCCATCCAATCATGTGGCAGTACAAACCCATCCCCTGGCTCTGATACCATGTAGAATTTTTCAGGTCGATAGGCCGAAGGCCCACTCCAACAACACTGATACTATCCCCACTTTACCACCTGCCCAATCTGTCAGGAGTGTGGTTTTATCACAAAAGATTTAGATGTTAGTTAGAGTAGGGTAATTCTATTTAAAGTGCTTATCTTCTTTCCCTCTGGTCGATGTGGGATTCCAACACCTTTACAGCCCTTTTCCATCCACTCTTTCTTAGTGCCATACTATAATACCTTCCCCTATCATACAACGTGTCTTTCTCATCAACAAAAACCAACACCTTCTGACACCCCAAGTTCCTCAGTTTCGGATCATTAATCGGGTTGAAAAGCAGATCATCGATTCCATTACTCAATGGGTACACAAACCGCCACAAACAGGCCATATATAGTCTTAAAATTGGTGGCAATTTTAACTCTGCCCGAATAAGTTTTGTCCACTAGAAAAATGGATGCACCAAGACTTCCCATTGAGCTTGAGCCTGGGCAAGCACTTTGTTCCCACTTTTAAAGCCATGTAGTGTGCTATGTTAATCCTTGCGTTGTTGCCGAAGAAAAACACACTCCTTGGATTTGCATATCTCTTCAACCACTATTTGGAGTGTTTTCCATCAAAATGTAAAGCAACCCATTTGAGAGCAGTTCGTGAATCTTCATAAGCAATAGGCAAAGGGTGCTCCAAGGCAAGCCTATATTCAACAGAGACATCAACCACATTGACCATGACATCTAAGGAATTGATGTAGTTGTGGTAAAGCGGAGAAAATACGCTTTCAACACAGAAGTCGCCTCTACGAAAGTAGACAAGAAGAGGGAGCTTGTGCTTTGAATTGGTGGTGGAATTGGGGAGGTAAAAGCCTCGCATATATGTTTTCCTTATGTGAGATCACGTTTTTCGATTGCACTCTAGTTTTGGGATCGAGCGATGGATGAACCTTTTGTTTACCCATGAAACGCTCAATTGTACCATTTTTGTATATTCTCATAAGGGGGAATAAATCATACGCTACTTCATCATTCATGCTTGGCGTCACGAAAGAGAAGAGAACAATTAAGACAAGTGTGGAGATGGTAGGCATTTTTCTTTTTTATGGTTGTGGAGACAATTGAAATATGTTGGTGGGTGGACTTGGTGGATTTTACGGGACCCCTTTTAGATTCTATTAACGATCTGGTCGATGATCCTTTTGACGATTTGTGTTTCTTGTTATACAAGTCATGCATATTTTGGCTTCAATGACGGCATATACTTGTCAAATATACCATTTGACGTATTAAAACCTAATTTTACCCACAACCTTTAATTATTGTTGAATTTTCAGGTCGACGAGTCGAGGGCCTACTCCAACAACACTGATATTGTCCCTACTTTACCATCTGCCTGATCGGTCAGGTGTGAGATTTTATCACAAAAGGCGTTGGTGTTAGTTAGAGTGGGGTAATTCTATTTAAAGTGCTCCTCTCCTTTCCCTCTAGCCGATGTGGGATTCCAACACGCCTCAGCACATGAGACCACATTTTGTGGGTTACACATAAGGATCCACACATCGGCAACCACGTGGAGCCAAGTTGGGCCTCACCCAACACGCGGGGCCAAACGGGGACACCCAATCACGTGGCAACTTTGGCCTACGTGGAGCCATGCCAGGACTCACCTATCACGTGGGGCCAAAGAAGACCCACCCAACCACGTGGCAGTATGAGCCTGTCCCCTGGCTCTGATACCATGTTGAATTTTTTTCAGGTCGACATACTGATTGCCCACTTCAACAACACCAATACTATCCTCACTTTACCACCTGCCCAATCCGTCAGGTGTGGGGTTTTATTACAAAAGGCTTCGGTGTTAGTTAGAGTGGTGTAATTCTATTTAAAGTGCTTCTCTACTTTCCCTCTGCCGGATGTGGGATTCCAACAATTATGATGTAGTATTAACATATTCCTTTAATGTGTGCTATGATAGGGCAAGGCAGTTGGGCGGGAAGGTGTATAGCTGAGAGCAGTTTCCGTTGGTGATTAGTGATGTTAGGTAACTCGGGTGGTCGTCATCCTTTTTTTGGTAAATGTAAAAATCCTCTGAGCAAGAAAATCATAGTACAGTCTGTGGATGCAAATTTCCGCCTTCTCCTTCTGAACGAAAATGCACCTGCAAAATAATTAGCACCTAAAATCAAGGGCAAGAGCCTCACACACCCACGATGAAGGGGGGGCTTTGGTCGAAGAATCTCTAATGCCAAAGTTAGAATTTGAGAAATAAGGTGTTTAAAGAATTTTATAAGAGAATTGTACTTAGGTTTTTGGAGAAATAAGGGGCTATATATAAGGGTGTGACCAGCCCTATTTGGAGAAATAGGGACCGGCCACTTATGGTGGAAATTGGCTCTAATTGCAAGATATTATGCCAAATAATATCTTGCAATCAATTAGGAAATTAATCAATTAATCCCAATTTGAAAAGAATAATTGGGAGTTACCTTGTGGGAGTGGATTTGATGAGAAGTGATGAGAGGGTTTAAAAGAATACCATTTTGATCACCTTGGACCTCAATTGAGCCGTTATTGTCCGTTGCATGCACGTGCGAGTCCCAGTGTGACTCAAGGGTAATTTTGTCTTTTTAACCCAAAAGTCCACGTGTCGCCTCCATATTTTTCTTGATTATTTTTGGCTCCACAAATGCCCTCACACTTGTTGGGCTGCTTGCAAGAAAGGGCAGCATGTGTAGAGATCTTCTTGCTTTAGGAAACAGAGGATTGTTTCTTGTTTTGATGTAGATTCCCTCTTTAATTGGAAATTAGATCCTTCTAGGAAAGGGAAATAAATTACTTCTAAAGGCTATTTAAGTCTACCTTAAGTAGATTATTAAATCAACTTCAGAGAGCAATTTATTCTACCCTACAAGAGAGAGAAAGTTAGAGGATATTTGTTCCCCTTCCCCTAGCAATCTTTTACACTTGCCTGTGCAAATGATCGTTTTCCATTGCTTTCTTCGTCTTCACGCCGCACCAAGGTAAGAAAACATTAATTATTCCTCGTCTTCATAATTCTTAGGAGCTTTGGGGCTTGAAATTTGGCTCAATGAGGGTCGAGAAGGTGTGAAAAATTGGTTGGGGTGCCACGACATGGTTGTTGCCGTGGGACTGCTTGGTGTGGTGGTGGCTAGCTGGGCTAGGTGCGACTCGGCTCAGGTCAAGCTGATGGGTGCTGGACTGGATCGTCCCTCTTTTCTATGTTTTTTTATTTGGCTAGGCTCGAGCTTGTGCATGAGAGCAACTCCACCATTGCAAATGCCCCTAGGCTCGAGCTTGTGCATGAGAGCAACTCCACCATTGCAAATGCCCCTAGGGCTATTCACTATTTAATCCACTCAGTGAACAGTAACTGCCTTTTGCATCTCCACCTCTACATTGAATAGCCCTGGCAATAAGCAATAAAATATTAGTATTTTATTTATTTATAAAATAGTACAAATAATTTTATTTGTAATTTCGGATAAGATTTTTAATCGTTCTCGTTGCATCACGTGTCACTATCTGAAAAGACAATTATTGGTGATTGATTTCGATAAGATTTTTATCTAATGCTGTCGTGCCATGTATTGTTACCATTTTAGAATCGTTGATGATAGATTTCCAATAAGATTTTTAACCAATCACGTCATGCCACGTGTCACAATCTGTTTACAATCTTTGAGGATAGATTTCGATTAGATTTTTAACGAATGATGGCATGCCACATGACATTATCTACAACCTAATGCTTTCTAAATCCTCCATATAATCCACCATCCATCCTCAGAAATCTCACACCAATTTTCTCAAGATCTTTATCATTATTCATAGTTTCTGCTTCCTTCTTCACCAAAATCAAAATCTGTATCATTATTCATAGTTTCTGCTTCCTTTTTACAATGTCATCTTCTTTAAGGATGATGTGGGAAATCGATCAGCAAGAGGAAGAATTGTTTAACCAATCAGAAGGAATGTTCAATCTCCAAGTGGCCCAAAATGAGATGGAAAAGGATGAGGAGTGTAGAAGGAGAGATGACGAAGCAAGAATGGCAAAAGCCTCACATTCCCGTCAAGTTATCCTAGCTGTGGCTCAGATTTGCAAGCCCAACTGTTGTTAAAGTTCCTTTCGAGTGCAAATATAAGGATAGTATAGTGGCACAAGTAAGGGTGTTGAACCATAGGGACTGAGAAGCAACTTAGCAAAACCTTTGACTCTTACAAATTAGTATTAGTTAAAGACTCCTATGACTTAAAATGGGGGGGGGGGTTTGAGTAATTTTGAAAAAGGAATAAAGACAGAAAGAAAAGTGAAAAATTAGAACTATCTAAAAATAAACCTAATACATGAAATAGGTTAGAAATGTTTTTAGGACATAAATCTGACTTCAAATGAACAAAGGCCTTCCCCTAAACATTCCTGAATCAGTGATATGATCTTTATCGATTTCTGAAACTAAATTGCTTCGTATTTGAAGCAATATCCTCAAAACATGGTCTTGGCTTGATCAGCTGTCTTGTTCATCAAACCATCAGCAGTAACATCCACCATCATATGATCATAATCAAGCAATCCTTCATAGAAATATTGCATGAGCAACCATTGTTCCAAGTTGTGATGAGGGCAAGAATGCAACAGAGTTTTGAAACGGTCCTAATACTCATGGAACAACTCTCCATCATTTTGCACAATTGACATGATTTCATTCCTAAGCTTGTTAGTGCGTTGAGCTAGAAAAATTGTTGTAGAAATTTGGAAGCTAGCACATCCCAAGTTTGAATGGATCCAGATGGAAGAGTATGAAGCCATGCCTTACCTTTCTCCCTTAGTGAAAAGGGAAAGAGCCTAAGACGTATCTCTTGAGGGGTCATGCCCTGGATCTTAATGGTATTGCACACCTCTACAAACTCCTTGATATGCAAATGGGGATCCTCACCTGCCAAACCATTAAATTTAGGTAAAAGATGGATCATACCTAATTTGAGTTCGAAGTTCTCCACGGTGGTGTCGAGATAATGAATGCATGAAGACTCCTCATTGATCTTGGGAATCACATACTCCTTCAAAGAATGATTAGCCTCGTCATCATTGTTGTTGTTGTTGTTGTTGTTTGCCATGGCCATGTCGTCTTCTTCTAATTCAGCCTTGGGTGAGGATGAGGCTGACTTAGGTGTATGTGATTCTGAGTGGCAAGGAAAGGTTGGCAAAGATTGTGTTTTGAGAATCCTCACAGGTTTGAGTGTATGCCTCTTACCAAAACTTGATCGAACCACCCTTTGTAGCTGTTCTAAGTCAATAGGCTGCTTGAATGGATTGAAAGACATACAACTGAAAACAAAATAAATTAAGTTAATAAGCATAACTAAAAGGAATTACAAAGTTGTTTAAGCGCAGTCCCCGACAACGGCGCCATTTTGTTGAAATTCCTTTCAAATGCAAATATAAGGATAGTATAGCGGCACAAGTAAGGGTGTCGAACCATAGGGACTGAGAAACAACTTAGTAAAACCTTTGACTCTTACAAATTAGTATTAGTTAAAGACTCCTATGATTTAAAATGGGGGGTCTGAGTAATTTTGAAAAAGAAATAAAGACAAAAAGAAAAGTGAAAAATTAGAACTATCTAAAAATAAACCTAATACATGAAATAGGTTAGAAATGTTTTTAGGACATAAACCTGACTTCAAATAAACAAAGGCCTTCCCCTAAACATTCCTGAACCAGGGATATGATCTTTTAACTTATTCCTTTCAAATGCATAACTAAGATGTTCACATATCTAGCATGGCATATAACTAGATTGTATGAATCCTTTCTTACTTTGCATGTTAGATGCATGGCATATACATAAAACTTATATTTGTAAGTGCAACCTAGCATGGCATATACTCAGATTTAGCACCTAGAAACTCATTAAGAACGAAGAGGATTATGAACATCACATGAACACTAGAACATGGCATTTATCCTAGAACTTCATGGAATCAATTTACATGATTGGTTCTGAACCTAACCACATGTTGCTAATGAATGAAAGAAGATATGGCAGTCATCCTTATCATTCTCAACAAAAAGCAAACATAAACAAGGTAGCTAAGCTTGAAAATATTAGCTTGAAATAATTGAAACAGAAAACTGATTCTAGCTTGCAAATGAAATTGTTAAACTAAAGCTGCATCGTAACATTAATTCAATCATGTCTAGGGCTTCAAAGCAGCCCTAAGTATCCATAAACTAAATTAAATACATAAAAAGTTAGGAAAGTTAGAACCTAGAAACTGCTCAGGGCTGAAGACTCTTGCTCTCTCCAGATTCTGTGTTTTTCTATTTTTTTTCCTATTAAAAGGCTTAGGACTTATCTAACATCTGACACATTTACATTCTTGAATTCATTCTCATTTATAGCTCATAACAACCAACTTTTAGTATTGGAGTAACTGAAAACTAGCTGTTATTAGAATTTGTAACTGAACAGCTCATCTTTATTCTATCATAACTTCTTGTCGAAACCTCCAAATCATAAGATGTAAAGATCATCAGAAAGAAGATTTCCAGGGCTTTCCAACCATATATGGCCCATTTTCTGATTCATTATGAGCACTTCGGGGCAAAGTTCGTAAGTTGGCTATTATGCAAGGGCCTTTTCTAATGGATCTTGGGCCACTTGTTACAATATTCAAAATAAGATGATTTCTTCAAGTCCTTACTTTCATCTTGAAATACAATATAAACAACAAAATACCTTGTGATGCATAAAGATTTTAAGTAAAAAACCTAAGTAAAAGAGGGCATATAAATATAACTATTTGCACTCAACAGCCGTTCCTCAAACTTTGAAAGAAGCAGGCAACAACATGGTATGGATCCCTTGGATGATTATTTTGTCTGTAACAGTGCATTCCCTGATACATACTTTAGACGTCATTTTAGAGTGGAACGACATTTGTTCAACAAAATCATGATTGCTGTTTGCAACCATGATTCTTACTTTGTGAAAAAAAAATGATGAATTTGGTGTTATGGGTCTCTTTCCTGAGACAAATATTATTGTTGCCTTGCGAATGCTTGCATATGGAGCATCTGCAGACTAAGTGGATGAGATAGCGAGGATAGGGAAATCAACCATTCTTGAGTCCCTTATGAGGTTTTGCAGAGCAATCAAATCTATCTGCACCGCAAAGTACCTTCGAAGACTTACTGAGATGGACTTGCAAAGGCTTTTGAAGAAGGGCGAGATGTGAGGTTTTCTTGGGATGATTGGAAGCATCGACTGTATGCACTGGACCTGAAAAAACTGTCCAAGTGCATGGCAAGGCACTTATGGGGACAGAAAAGGAGCAAACAGTATCATTTTGGAGGTGGTGGCATCTTTTGATACATGGATTTGGCACGCCTTTTTCAAGGTTCCGAGAGCTCAAAATGACCTTAATGTCCTTGCCCAATCCCTAGTTTCAATGAAGTCCTACAAGGAAAAGCACCAAGAGTCACGTACCGGGTCAACAAACATAAGTACCATGGGCCATACTACCTAGCAGACGGAATTTACCCAAGGTGGTCATCATTTGTCAAAAACAGTGCCACGTTCACGAAGTGCAAAGGAAAAACACTTTGTAAGCTGTCAAGAGAGGTGCAGGAAGGATGTGAAGTGTTGTTTTGGTATCCTCCAAGCTCGCTAGGTAATTGTTAAAGGTGCTGCCAGAATTTTTGATTTATAGTCGCTTCGATCCATCATGATGACGTGCATCATTCTTCACAACATGATTGTGGAAGATGAATATGATTATGATGTTGTTGATGAATATGAGCTAGACACGAACAATTCCAGAACACAAATATATTGTGTTCATGACGCCACCGAAGAACCCGTGTAACATGAGCCATTAAAAAGGGATGAATGTTACAATCAAAGGCTCATTCAACAATATATTGCACTTCAGGAGCCATATATGCACAATGCTCGGCAAATTAACTTGATAGAGCAGCAATGGGAATTGAAACAAGCTCAAGATACTGAAGTTCATTTAGTGTGTTTTTTTTATTTGGTGTGTTTATTTAATTTTATTTGGTGTGTTTTTTAAGTTCATTTAGTGTGTTTTTTATTATTTGGTATTTTTATGTAATTTTATTTGTGTGTTTATGTCCTTTGAATAAAGATTGTCTTAGTTTAAATAAATTACCAAATTAAATAAATATACTCTTAGTTTAAATAAAGTACTCTATTCAATAAATAAGAAATTACAACCGAAAGTGATTGTAAAATTATGGGCTCCGATTACAAACAAAGTGATTGGAAAATTATGGGCTCGTGAATGGAAAATCATCACCTAACCAATTTGTGGTGCTAGGATCATCTTCTCTTGTGGTGCTAGGACCATTTCCTCTTGCTCTTGCTTCTCTGACACGCCCCCTTCGCACCATATCCACTTTCTCTAAATTCCAAAAGTATTTATAATTCGGAGACTTCCCTTCTGAAGGCGTGTTCATAATGTCACGATCTCGTTGAGCCCTTATTTCTTCTCTAATATCTTCCCTTTCTTGCCTAAGTAGCTCTCTTTCTCTCTCATTAGCTTGAAATTCTCTCTCAACAGCTGCAGCTTTTGCTTCCTCTATAGCCTTATCAGCCTCAAATTTAGCCATTTCCCGTGCCAAACTCAATTCACCTTGGCGAGCAAGTTCTTCCATATACTTTGCATAGTCATTCTTGGAAGCATTCCCTTTTCTCTTTGAAGCCTTCTTACCTTGAGGCCTAATTGGATAACGGGTCGACCCCGACGCTTGTTCATGGGTGGCATTTTCGGCACTTCTTCTGCATCATCTTCATGAACATGCGAGGCGTGATCGGGCGTAGAGTATAGATGGGTGTTGTTCATGACAACTTCTGGACCGACATGCACAACTCTGAATTTAGGACAATCTTTGACAACATTCCAACATTCCCACTGGGTGAATGATTGCTTTTTGTTTTTGGATTTGGCATTATACCAAGCTTGAGCTTGAAGTGTCTACACAATGCGGGAGAAGAAATAATTATAATCAAAGTAGCTAATGTAAATTTAGGTATAGTACAAACAAATAAATAATATATTGTTACATGATCCGCTAAATTTTCCCCACTTCGAAGATTACTACTAGCTTGTGCCAAGGCGTCTCTCCACATACTAAACAATTGGCAGAGTATTCTCCAACGATTGGACATCGATTCTTTGGTTTCCCACCAATTTTCTCAAGATAATTGGTATGAATAAGACTCCATATTTCTCGCAACTGCATCTAATTACCCGTAATCGGATCATGAGTAACTTCAACCAAGCTAGTACACAACGTAACATCTTTAATAAGCATTCAATTCGTACCTACATCATTAGTCATTTTGCTGGAAAAAAATGGATTGAGACTTTGAGAGAAAGATAGGAATGTGGTTGAAAGTAGTTGAGAAAATATGAAATTGTGGTTGAAACTTTGAGAAAATATGAAATTATGGTTGAAAGTTTGAGAAAATATGGTTGAAAGTATTTGGTCGAAATATTGGAATATGGTCGAAAGATTGGAATAAGGTAGAAGATAATGAGAAAGTATTTATAAAAAAGTAAAATCATTTTTTTTTCAAATTTTTTTTCGGACTTTTATTAATTTTTTACATTTTTTCAAAATTTTTATTCACATAATTAATCTCTGCCATTGGATTAAAAAAATTTTGAATTCCAACCCCTTACATT